GAAATTTAGGAAAATAAATTATTTTTAAATGAAATTAGTAAAATTAAATGATGTTAAATAATTCACTTTATACATTAAACACAAATGTCTATCTTATATAAGATCATTTTTATGTGTTTCTAATTAATGAGAGAATTCTGAGGCGTTTATCCTCAATAAGGGAATTTTTATAAATTTTAACTTCTTATATAATTCTTTATTTATCAATTATATTTTAATATTTTATTATAAATTTTAATTATGTATAATAAATAGGCTAAATTATAATTTTCGTCATTTATCTTATTTATTAAAGTTATTTTAATTTTTTATCTTTTAAATTTGGATCAATTTGGTCCTTTTGAAATAATATTTGTTTTCAATTTTGAGACATACTTTTAGATCTTTTTTGACCAATACAAGATTTGAATCTTGTTTCATTATATTCACTTATATGAAAATTATTAAACACAACTAAAGTTCAAATAAAAAATGTTACAAATATACTGAAAATTACATAAAAATAAGTTCAAAAGTAAATTGAAAAAGTTTAAAAATATGATTACATATTATTTTTTAATTACTTAAGAAAAATATTTTTCACACAATTTTCTCTATGTTTATAGCTTTTTGAATTCAAACGTCAATTGAGTTCATAATTTTTTATATAATTGAATCAAATGTTACAAGTTTCATATCATGAATCAATTAAAAATTGGTTCAAAATTGTATTACAAAAAATTAAAAAAAAAATATTATTATTTTAAAAGGACTAAATTAATCTAAATATAAAAAATAAAAAAGTAAAATAAACATTTTAATAAATAAAAAATTATAATAAATATAAAAAATAAAATAAAAGATAAAAATATAATTTCATCTAATAAATATATAACATTTACACTATATAAACTAAATACTAGTTTTTCTTATTTAACGTTAACTAGTTACTTTCTTGAGCTCTTATTTATTTTAAAACTAAATATGAAATATTGATATATGGAATAAAGTTTCGATTTCTTTTTCATATGAAATGACTAGTAAATTATTAAGTTTGACGTAATGAAGTTTGACATAATGGTAGAAATCGAACAAATATGCACATTATCCTAAATTTAGTCTGAATTTTAGGAAATAAAAAAATATAAAAAATACTTTTCCATCAGCATGACAGCATTTGAATTTTGAAGCTAGACCGTTACGAAATTTTTATTCAATAATTACTTCTACCAATTAAACCACGGATGCAAATAGTCCTGTAACATTTATTGACTTGTAAGTTGTAACAAGTTTCGATATTATGGAGTTCTATAATGACCCCACTGTTTGACTCAGTAAAATAAAGTCTTCTGTTCTGGTGTGCTATTACTTTTTCAAAAACAATATGTTTAATATTTTATTTTTTTAAAATAAAATATAAAATTACTAATACTATTTTTTAAAATCACAGCTAAATTCAATCCAATTAAAATAGCAAAAGTCAAAATTAAATCAAAAGTAAAAAAAAAATTCAAAAAAATTGAAATAGCCAGTCTCTTTTGTTGGATTGGATAAAATTTTGGATTTAATTAATTCAAATCACATATAGTATATTTATATATATATATATAT